GGTGGGGTGGTGGTGGGGTGTCTCGGTGAATAAAGGCCCCAGCAGAGCTCAGCCCGTCTCCGAGTGGTGGGGGGACAGGGGACAGCACATCTGGACACATCTGGGTGCTAGACTACGTGTTTGCCAGCACATCTGGGCACCGGGGTACAGGGGGGTGGCACATCTGGGTGTCGGCACGTCTGGGCACTGGGCTAATGAGGAATTACACATCTGGGTGCCAGCACATCTGGGTGACAGGCTGCACGGGGGGTGGCACATCTGGGTGCTAGAATATGTGGGTGTCAGCACATCTGGGCACCGGGGTATGGGGGGATGGCACATCTGGGCACTGGGCTAATGAGGAATTACACATCTGGGGGATGGCACATCTGGGCGACAGGGTGCATGGGGGCTGGCCCATCTGGGTGCTAGAATACGTGGGTGCCAGCACATCTGGGCACTGGGATAATGAGGACTGGCACATCTGGGCACCAGCACACCTGGGCACCAGCACATCTGGGCACCAGCACATCTGGACACTGTGTGTGTGTGGACTGACACATCTGGGTGCTAAAAGACGGGATGCTGGGGTTCCTGGGGATTAGCACATCTGGGTGCCAGCACATCTGGGCGACAGGGTGCACGGGGGCTGGCACATCTGGGTGCTAGAATACGTGGGTGTCAACACATCTGTGCACTGGGCTTCCTGGGGATTGGCACATCTGGGTGCCAGCACATCTGGACACTGTGTGCACGTGGACTGACACATCTGGGTGCTAAAAGATGGGGTGTCGGGGTTCCTGGGGATTAGCACATCTGGGTGCCAGCACATCTGGGCAGTAGGGTGCATGGGGGCTGGCACATCTGGGTGCTAGAGTCTGTGGGTGTCAGCACATCTGGGCACGGGCTAATGAGGACTGGCACACCTGGGTGCCAGCACAGCAGGGTCCCAGCACATCTGGACACTGTGTGCGTGTGGGTAGCACACATCTGGGTGCTAAAAGATGGGGTGCTGGGGTTCCTGGAGATTAGCACATCTGGGCAATGGAATACGTGAGGTTTGGCACATCTGGGCAGCAGGGTGCATGGGGGCTGGCACATCTGGGTGCTAGAGTCTGTGGGTGTCAGCACATCTGGGCACGGGCTAATGAGGACTGGCACACCTGGGTGCCAGCACAGCAGGGTCCCAGCACATCTGGACACTGTGTGCGTGTGGGTAGCACACATCTGGGTGCTAAAAGATGGGGTGCTGGGGTTCCTGGAGATTAGCACATCTGGGCAATGGAATACGTGAGGTTTGGCACATCTGGGCAGCAGGGTGCATGGGGGCTGGCACATCTGGGTGCTAGAATACATGGGTGCCAGCACATCTGGGCACCTTGTGCGTAGGACTGGCACATCTGGGTGCCAGCACACCAGGGTCCCAGCACATCTGGGCACCAGCACATCTGGAAACTGTGTGCGTGTGGATAGCACACATCTGGGTGCTAAAAGAGAGGGGTGCCAGGGTTCCTGGGGATTAGCACATCTGGGTGCCAGCACATCTGGGCGACAGGGTGCACGGGGGCTGGCACATCTGGGTGCTAGAGTCTGTGGGTGTCAGCACATCTGGGGACTGTTGTGTGTAGGACTGGCACATCTGGGTCCCAGCACATCTGGGCACTGGGCTAACGAGGACTGGCACATCTGGACACTGTGTACACGTGGACTGACACATCTGGGTGCTAGAGTCTGTGGGTGTCAGCACATCCGGGCACTGGGCTAACGAGGACTGGCACATCTGGGTGCTAGAGTCTGTGGGTGTCAGCACATCTGGGGACTGTTGTGTGTAGGACTGGCACATCTGGGTCGCTGCACGGGGGGTGGCACATCTGGGTGCTAGAATATGTGGGTGTCAGCACATCTGGGCACCGGGGTATGGGGGGATGGCACATCTGGGCACTGGGCTTCCTGGGGATTAGCACACCTGGGTGCCAGCACATCTGGGCACTGGGATAATGAGGACTGGCACATCTGGGCACCAACACACCTGGGCACCAGCACATCTGGGCACCAGCACATCTGGACACTGTGTGTGTGTGGACTGACACATCTGGGTGCTAAAAGACGGGATGCTGGGGTTCCTGGGGATTAGCACACCTGGGTGCCAGCACATCTGGGTGACAGGGTGCACGGGGGCTGGCACATCTGGGTGCTAGAATACGTGGGTGTCAACACATCTGTGCACTGGGCTTCCTGGGGATTGGCACATCTGGGTGCCAGCACATCTGGACACTGTGTGCACGTGGACTGACACATCTGGGTGCTAAAAGATGGGGTGTCGGGGTTCCTGGGGATTAGCACATCTGGGTGCCAGCACATCTGGGCAGTAGGGTGCATGGGGGCTGGCACATCTGGGTGCTAGAGTCTGTGGGTGACATCTGGGCACTGGGCTTCCTGGGGATTAGCACATCTGGGTGCCAGCACATCTGGGTGCCAGGGTGCATGGGGTCTGGCACATCTGGGTGCTAGAGTCTGTGGGTGCCAGCACATCTGGGGACCGTGTGTGTAGGACTGGCACATCTGGGTGCCAGCACATCTGGGCGACAGGGTCCATGGGGGCTGGCACATCTGGGTGCTAGAATACGTGGGTGTCAGCACATCTGGGCACTGGGCTAACGAAGACTGGCACATCTGGACACTCTGTGCACGTGGACTGACACATCTGGGTGCTAAAGGATGGGGTGCTGGGGTTCCTGGGGATTAGCACATCTGGGTGCGAACACATCTGGGCACTGGGCTTCCTGGGGATTGGCACATCTGGGTGATCTGGGTGCTAGAATATGTGGGCGCCAGCACATCTGGGCACTGGGCTAACGAGGACCGGCACATCTGGGTGCCAGCACATCTGGCGAGGGGGCCCCCATGGGTGCTGCTGGCCGGGTGGGGGGGGTCCCAGGCTGCGACGTGGCCGTGGGAGGGGATATCCCGCCCCCCCACTTCTTCCCCCCCCCATCCTTCCCCTTGGGGACACAGCGCGGGGAGGGGGGGGGGA